AAGAGAGTTTGCGAATCTTACATTTCTGAGCCCTTGAACGTGGGGTTGGGACAGCAAACGACATTGTGATGAGCTTGGAGTAGACGGGCCTGTTTCTGGCCCTCTGACACATTCTTCCCAGGAGAGAGAGCAAGGATGGTCTCAGACAAGCTCAAGGTGAGGAGGAGGCTGAGTTGAGTTGGGGGTCTGTGTCTCAAATCACAGGAAGGGCCGATGGTGTGTGAAAGCCAGAGCAGAATGACGGTCTCGGAAGCAGCAGAGCTCTCCATGGGGGCGATGAAGCTCTCCCTCGCCCAGCCTGGAGTCCCCCTTCTTACCAGCCCTCTTCCCAATGGACCTTTCTTCCCCAGAAAGACTAGGAAGTGGGAGCAGAGCTCTGTTTGGAAAATGCCTGTCCGTCCAAGTTAAAAATCAAGGGCATCATCAAAACACATAATTATGATTCTTGAACAGTGTGTATTCAACCATCATTATGGAAGGCCTACTATGTGCCAAGCACTGTGGAAGGCAGCAGGGGCATCAGAGTGAACCACACAGCCCCTGAGCTCCCTGAGCTCGGGGGGGGGGGGGGGGGGGGGGGGTGGTCAAAGGCGTTCATGAGGCCGTCACACAGATGCAGGAGGTGAACATGAGGATGCTTCTGGGAGAACGCGCAGGAAATAGCGGGATCCGGTGGGGGGGAGGGCAGGGCGGTGGGGAGGTGCTTTTCTGAGAAGAGGGACAGTTGAGCTGAGATCCAAATAGAGTTGGACTCGCACAAGTGAGGGAGGGGACGCCATCTAGAAAAAGTGCCAGATACAGTGATGGATGGCAACTAGACTTTGGGTGGCGAACACGATGCAGTCTATACAGAAGTCAAAATATAATGATGTGCACCTGAAATCTATACAGTGTTATAAGCCAATGTGACCTCAATCAAAAGTTTCAAAAAAGGAAAGAAGAAGTGCTGGAGCTCGGAGAGCAAGGGGAGGCGGGGGGATGAGATTGGGAGACGGGCAGACAGATGGCTCACAGAGGTCCTGACCCCCCAGGAGAAATTCAGCTCCAGGGTTAGTGTGACCTCCGCTGTCTGCAGGACAGTCACATGGCCCTGGGCGCTGAGGAGCTGGCAGGAAGCAGGGTCAGGTGACGGCTCCTCCAAGGCTCCCCGGCCTCTCTTACATAACCTATGATTCCCCGCCCATCAGAACAATCACAAAGCCAGGAGAACGCTCCCCAAAATGGGATTTTTTTCCCAATTTTCCAGATTCATGAAAGAAAAAGAAAATTCATTCAGCGTCTATGAAAACATATTTTCTCATAATTTACAGATCGTCTTCTGGACACGGTTAGGCTGGGGGCAGTATTTTGCCTGTGCTCAACTTCTTGGATGTTCGTCCCAAAAATCCAGATGCTCTGGTTGGCCAGAGGCCAAATTGGCCCAGAGGATTTAGACAGGGGAGCATGAGGGATGGGTTTTAACTGCTGCCTGCCGGTGAGCTAGAGGACCCTGGAGGGGCGATGGACAGGGGACAGCAGGCCTGTCTGCACTAACCTGGACTCTGCCATGGAGGAGGAAGCTGGCACTTCCAGACCCTGTAGGATGCTCCCTGGTAGGCCAGGGATCTCCCCTCCCCTGGGACCCCCTCTTGATGAGCAGAGATGAGGTAGGTCCAAGCCCAGCAGGCAGTGGGACTTGCCTGCCCAGCTACCCATGGAGATGGGGGACTCCCAAACTGTGAGACTAAAAGACCCCCCGAGGCCTGTCTTCCGTGGTGAGTTTCCCTTCCCGCTGGCATGATCAAGACAGTGATCCTTCCCTCCTTGTCACATAGGCCCCTAAATCTCAGCAAAGGAGGAGTCTCCAGGCAGCCTTGGTAAAGACAAGGAGGTGGGAAGGGGCTCTCTACTGCCCTCTGGTGTCCACCCACCAACCAGGCTTCTCAAAGGTCCATGATGGCTGAGAGAGAGGTGCACTGTTAGAGAGGTAAGCTGCCTCCAACTCTGTGTGACCTTGGGTAAACGCCACCCCCTCTCTGGGCATCAGTTTCCTCATCTGTATGGGACAGGACTGAACCAAATAGTCTTGAGAAAGAGAAAGCCAGCCCCAAGCAAGCGAACAAGGAAGGACGGTCACAGGGGCAAGGACAAAAAGTTAGGGAACCAGAGGGTACCACCAAGGGCCACCCCGGGAGCCCTGAGGAGATGGGGAGGTAGGAGGGACCAGGGTCCCAAAGGTAAGGCCCAGGCAAGCCAAGAATGTCAAGGTGAAGAGAAACAACCAAGACCCCAGATCCTGGCCAGGGGCCACCAAGCCCCACTGCTTACCTCTCCCCTCCTCCTACTGTCTCCTTTCCAAGGTCCCCCTAAGTAGCTGAATTAAGACATCAAGATATTCTGAACTGGATCCTTTTGCAATAAAGAATATTATTGAGGCAACTGGCAAAATCTGAAAGGGTTCCCAAGTTCGGATGTCAGCAACGTATCATTTACCCATTTTGACGCTTGGGCAGTTTGGTACAGGACTGTCCTTGATATAAAACACACACTAAAGCATCCTGTCAGCAGCTGCCTCAAAAATGGGAGGGAGGAGTTCTTTGTACCGTACTTGCAAATCTCTGCAATTTTGAGATTGTTTCAACGATTTAAAATTTTTTTCATTCTAGAATTTTCTTTTAAAAATTGCATACATCCTTTGACTCAGCAATTGCTATTTTAGGATTTTTATTCTACAGATATATTGGTATAAGTGTGTTTAATACTTACAATAAGATATATTGGTATACGTTTATGCCATTGAAATTAAGTATTATCTACAACATATTTATGGCAGAAATATTTGAAATAGCAAAAAATTAAAAGTTAACTGTCCATCAATAGAAGAGTGGTAAAATAGCGATGGTACTCTCGTGCGTGGATGCTCTGCAGCCCTTGAAAAGAATGAATGGGGGTCTATACTAATAGTAGTTAATATTCACTGGGCACTCACCACGTGGCAGGTCTCACCCAAGGGCTGTATATACACATCAATTCAGACCAACCCTATTCCGTAGATCCTCTTACTATCCCCACCATGTGGAAGAGAGAATTGAGCCTGAGGGACACTAAGTAACATGCCCAGGATAACACAGCTAGTGGATAATACACCCAGGTGGGAATCCAACTCTTGCAGCTGGATCCAGAGACCCCCATGCTTACCACACACACACAATAATTTGGGAAGAATACACAAGACACCGTTAATAATGATTACCTTTGGAGTGGAGTTAGGGTAGGAATAAGAGAGAATTTAACTCTTCATTTTATACTCTATCTTCTTTACCATATATCTTTATCGTGTATCACCATATCAGTTTTATATATTTTTTTAAAAAACGCTAGTTGAAATAAATTAGCGCTAAAGCATAAAAAACTTTTAAAGGGGCTGGCCCGGTGGCATAGTGGTTAAGTTCATGTGCTTTGCGCTTGAGGTTCAAGAGTTCAAATCCACTGCTCATCAAGCCATGCTGTGGCAGCGTCCCACATAAAACAGAGGAAGACTGGCACAGATGTTAGCTCAGAGTCAATCTTCCTCACCAAAAACAAAACAAAACAAAAACTTTTAAAAAATCTTCTGCCCTTAAGGAATTTATGGCCCTGATACCAACTTTCAAGGGATTTACTAATTTTACAAGCAATTGTAAAGTATATGCTAAAGAAATGAAAATCATAAGAACCAGATCATATGGGTTGTGGAAAGTGATTTGTGTCACTTGCACGCATTTCCAGGGTTTGCACACAGCAGTTGATGGTGTTTGTGAGAGCAGCTATCCCAATGTGGCCCAGGGGCCTGAAACACCCAGTTCACCTACAGGGCATCTGTGGGCCCACGAGGCTACCAAAGGCTTTACCCTGGGTGGCGTAGTGTGGCTGTTGAAAGCTCCTTACAAGTTATCTAATGTGACATCACAATGATCCTATAAGGTTTAGTTCCTCTTCCGTAATATGGAGATAGTACTGTCTCTTCACTTACTAGCCTGGGTTATTTACGTATTTTTTTATATTCCTACCCCCATTTTGCAGATACGGAAACTGAGTTTCAAAAGCAGTTTCTGGGGGAAAGAATGTACTTTCTGTTTGATCGTTTTTTAATAAGTGAGAGGGAGGAGGGGAGACTGCTCAGAGGCGCCGAGCTCGGAAGAGAGAGGGGAGATGGTGAGTTTCTTAATGTCCCTGGGAATTTAGAAGGACAAGCAGGCCCGGTGGGCGGGAGCCAGTGGCTGCGTTGGGATCGGCTGGATTTGAAGAGGTGAGTCCGGGCGAGGAGAGCGCGGCAGTGGCGCAGCTCCCAGGAGGTTTCCCCGGCACCGTGTTCTCGCATCCGCCCCCGCCCCGCCTGCGCGGGTCTTGACCCGGCTGAGAGCCCTGGCTGTGTGACCTGTAGGACTCTTCTCGGTGGACAAGGCCTCGGTGCCCTCCCCGCAGCGGGGCTACTGGTGCTGTGGGCTTCCCAGGCCAGCCGCGTCCTGATGCCAGGCAGGATGGAAGGCGGGGAGGGCGTGGGATCTGCGCGAGGAAACCCTGGGCCCAAAGTCCCACTTACCAGTTGGCATTCGCACTTATTAATGGGTGGCTTTGGGTAAGGCTCTTTTTCTGAGCATCAGTTTACCCCTCTGTAAAGCCAGAGTAAATAGCGTTCTCCCCGCAGGCTTGGGATGGGAATTAAACGAGGTACCGCGCACTCTCAGGGTGCGTTCAGGCAAGCGGGTCCCATCGCGCTGAGGGCAGGACCTGGGCGTCTGCATCATCCCGGCAAAGTCGCCGCAAACTCGCGCGGCTTACCAGGTGTGGGCTCAACCCTCCCCTCCCCGTCTCCACTTTCTCCCCGAAGCTGGCTGAGGGCGAGAAGCGAGGGACGCCCCTCTGCAGGGTCGACTCCTGCGCGGGCGCTCCGGGTGCCCGCTCCTCCCTCCGCCGGGCGGAATCCGGAGGTGCCTAGTGCTCCCGGAGCTGGGCGGGGCGGGGCGCGGCCCACGTGACCCGGGCGGGCTGCCCTGGGTTGCTCCCCGGCCGAGGCAGGTCTGTAGCCCCAGCCGCCGTGCGCCCTACGCCCAGCGCCCTCCCTGGCTCCTGTGCGCCCTGCGCCCTGCCTCGCCCCAGTGCGCCCTGACCCGACGCCTTGCCTCGTCGCTTTTCTTTCCCTCCCAGGACGGGAGATTGCAGCCTAGGGGTCCGGACCAGGGCCGGCACGCCCCCAGAGAGGAGTCGGTGAGTGCGGGGAGAAGTGGGAATGGCGGGGCCCCAGTGGTGCCCACGTCAGGGAACCCAGGCTCAGGGAGCGTCCGCGGTGATGTGTGCAGCTCCACTGGTGTGAAAACGCCCCCAGGAACCCCCAGGCCTCGGTCCAGGCGGGTTAGGGGGGCGCGCCCAGCCCTCTGGACCCCAAACCTCAGACCTCGCCTGAGTACTTGGATCAGACTGGTCTGGGTCCTCGGGAAGCCCATTTTGAGGAAAATAGCTATTTTTATCAGAAGCTCTATTGTGAGACTGCGTGCAGGTGAGGCCGAGGCTGCGGACGTGGGAGAGACTCACTCAGGCTGGACACCCAGGGACCCAAGTCTGTTAGGGGAAGGACTCCCTCCTGGGCTGCCGTGCCCATCTTGGGGTACAGAACTGGGATGATGTCTTGGCGCAGAAGGAGAGTCCTGGCCTTTTTCTGGGCGTCCAAAAGCCCCACCTTTATTGGAATCATCTTATGCTCCGGGACAGCCCCCGTCCTGGCCCTCCCACCCTGTTGTAGGGAAGTGGGAAGGGTCCGAGGATGGGCATGGAACACTGGGCGCTGACCCAGGTCCCCACTTGAGCGAACTCTCCTTATAAATCCCCAAGGTTTCACAAGCTTAGACCTTCGCCAAATATTGACAAACCCACTTCAGTTCCAGGTGGGTTGGGGCCTCTACATTTTCTCTCTTTTTTTACGGGGTGTAGTGTTTTCTTAAATCCTATTTGAATATCTTTCAGAGACGTTGGAATGATAATGGGGGGAGGTGAGGCCGCCACCAGCCCACTAGCCCCAAAGGCCAGCACTGCCCCTGCCCATGGCCGTGAAGCCCCAGAGAGAGGCCAGGCTGGCCAACCGTGGGCAGCTGAGCAGCCACGTTGCACACTTGGGTGGGGACAATGGCAGCACCCAGGTGGGGAGTCCGTGGACTTCCTGATTTAGGCGTTAGTGACTGAAAAACTAAAACCAGTTGACTGGGTCTAGTGGGGGTGGAGGGGTTCCAGAGCTCTGTAGGCTCGTGGGAAAAATGTCTTTGGTACCCTTGGATGGCAGTGTGGGAACTGCTCCTGTGTGCCCCAGCTCATGTGATCGGGTCAGCCTTCTAGGGCCGACTGTCTTGTTCTTTTCAGAAGCAACCTCTCTCCCTACACCCCACCATATGTCCCCCCACCCAACCCATCCCCCACACCTTTAATTCTAACCCCCTGGCATCTTGCAGGGCAGAGGAGGGCCAGAGAGGTCATGGGGCCCAACCCTTGTCCGTGGCACATGTGGGAAAGTGTGACTGAGACCCAGAGCAGAGGGAACTTGTCCGAGGGTTGGCCGGGACCTGAAGTGGGACGGGAAGCCAGCTGCTCCCTCCCAGCCCCATCCTGGTCCTGCAGCCTCACCCTGGGACTGTCCTCGCTGTGGAGACCTGTGCTGAGGCTTCAGCTGTAAATGCAGAACCAATGTCCGCATATCGATGAGAGAGCTGGGAGGGCAGAGAGAACCTCGGGAGGTGGGCAAGCCGCAGAGCTTCACGGCTGTACCCCAGGTGTGCCAGGTGCACCTGCGTGGGGGAGGGGGCTTTCGGGTGGAAACTGCTCATTTTGCAGCTGACGAGGGCTCGGGTTTGGTTCCTATCAATGGGCGAAAGGCCCTGCCCACAGAAGTAACCACACAGGCCAGCTCTGAGGGCAGCACTGGGAGAAAGCCAGAAAGAGTTAACACAGAGGGCCCCCAAGTTGGCACCTCCGCCTTCCCTCCAGAATGTGCCTGTGCCTTTGTCAGCAAGAACAGGCCACACGCCTTGACTCTGAGTCAGAGAGTATGCCTGCCATTGTTTGCGGGCATTTAATGAGGAACTTGGAACTGCCTGCCAGTTTTATTTGCTCAGGCAGGCGATCACTCATATCCCAGGCTCAGGGGACAGCTGGCCCCAAAGGTGATCAAGCCAAGTTTCGTGTAGGATGAACCACCACCCAGATTTCCCTTTAATTTAGCCAAAATATGAACTCAAATCTTTGACAGACAAGGACACCACACCACTGAAATTCACTGGTCTGCGTCCAGGATGCCCATTTTACAAAAACCAGTTCTACTGTCTCTTTGCAACTCGTTAACCTCCGGATCACCCTCTCTTTTCTCCCTCCTAACTATTCAATGATCACGGAAGGCTCACAGTCTCGAAGATTAAAAATGTGATTAAATCTGAGCAGTGGAACGGGCTCAAATTGAAAGTGTTTTGTTCAGGAACCTTGTGACTAGGAGTTATCTACAGTGAAATGAAGCCAGGAACAGACAGAGTGTGGTGGAGTCTGCCCTCCCCAACACACCCACCCTGGGAGGTTCCCCCAGGCCAGGGCAGGCACCAAAATGGCCCTACACCCTTGGTGGATCCAGCATGTCCTATGCTCCCATGTTCCTCCTTGACTGTCGGGAGTGGAGGGGCACCCAGGAGATTGGGGTCTCAGTGAGGAAGCGAAACAGGAAGTGATAGAGAGGAGGTGACTGTGGCTGAAAGGCTGTCCCTTCCTTGGATCCACACGGGCCCCACGGTGTGGCTGTGCCTGGCAGAGGGGCTGCCCCTTCACCACACTCCAAGTGCCCCCATCAGTGTACCAGCCCGAGGCAAGCCAGAGAGGATGCTAGCAATACATCCACAACATGCCAGTGACGTTTGATCAGTGCATTTTAAATGCTGAAGTCAAACATGTTCTCCATTGGATTAAAGATAGTTTTTAAAAAGCTTTAAGCCTCTGCATTTCATTAATGCACTAAATGGGAATATTTGGTCACAGTAGACAAAGACCCACGTCGTGGACCATTGGTTCTCAATCCCTGGCTGTCCCGGGAACACGCTCCCCTCCCCGAAGCATCACCTCCCTGTGGCGTGGCACGCCCCCCTACCAGGCTGTATCTGAAATTTGGACTCGCTCTCCCTCCCCTCCTCTCCCTGCATCTCCTGCTCACCCGGATGTTGGGATGCAACTAAAAATACGCTAGCGTAAAATTTTTCAGGTAACGTCTAACCCATGAAGTACCAATAGCGTGTCCTTGGTTTAGCTATGTGGGATGCGTGTTTTCAAGTCTATATTTCATCTTTACTGGTTTTACTAAACAGAGCAGAGTGAACATGTATCACTTTCCTCAATCACTCTGGGTCGTCATTGGAACCTACAAGATGGTGCTAAGCCATGATGCGAGGTTCCTGTGGAGGTGTGTGGGCTGCCCCCTCCCTGCATGCTGGCCTCTCCGTTCATGTCTCAGCATGTTTCTGCCTGGCCTCCTTCCCATCCCACCCCCGTCCTGGCAGGCACCACCCTTGTGAGAGGTGCCTGGACCCTCCCTGGTCCAGCATGCACCTCGTTCCCGGGCCTCCATTGTCTTTGCGATGTGAGCTGGGAAACCAAGTTGCCATCCTTATTAGGAAGAAGCATCAAAGAGAAGAAACAGCCTTAAAATGGGGCCACGGGATGGGACACAGATGTCCTCTGTGTGTGAATCGAGCAGCCTCCAGGGTGACAGCTCTAACCCTCCAGTGACTTTTTCATCCATCCACTTATGAGTCCTGACCACGCTCGAAGAGAGCGAAGCTTGCATGATAAGAAGCGTACACTTTTTCCTTCTGTTTGGCTTTTCTCCCTCACCTCTCACAACAAGGTTCTTGAAACAAGGCTGGAATTGTGACTTCTCCTTAGGAGGGGAGAGAGAATGGTAGCGACTCAGCTGATGGTCACGGCTCTCATCTGTTCTGAAAATAGAATTTCCATGAACACGCTTCTTATGATACAATATTTTTTTCAAAAATGTTAAAAAAATAAATAAATAAACCCCAGTCATCCATCAAATAACTTTTTGTTCTAATTTTTTAAAAACCAAAAATGATGTGCTCTAGGGGGAGCATCAAGAATCAGTTTTGTTTTAATGTTTTCTTGTCCAGAGTCTACATTCCACTGTAGATGAAAATAGTCTGAATGATGCTGGCCCATCAGAATGACCTCTTCGTGATGGTTCACCGTCTGCGCCGTGCTCGAGGGCGGAAATGCTGAAGGGTCAGCGCAAAAAATTTAAGAAGTTATTTTTCACCAATTTTAAGGCACAAACCAGGGAACATTTTAGTTGACAATCATGAGATCTCTATGGGAATTTTCATTTTAGATGATATCTGAGTGCTCCTCAGAAAGTGTCGCTTTCCGTAATTAACCTGTTGTGTGACAAAATCGAGGTACCTTTCTAGCACAGAGCAAGTTTTGTTAACATTTCCACGGTGGACACTTTCGAATGGTTGGCAGCACTGAAGGAGAGATGCTCCGCAGAATTCAGAAGCCAAATTGAGTCTTTGGGTTGGCTTGGAGAATTCCAAGTGAGAATAGACAGACTGGCCCCCTTCTCTGATGCTCCTGAGAATTCAGATTTCAGTCCTCAGAGAAGATAGTTACCCACAGAGGAACCTGTCATCCCAGCAGAATCCCGGCCCAGCCTCGGTGCCCATGTGTGGGTGTAGCAACAGCGCTGTTCTGTCCCCCAGGAGTTGTAAGGCAAGAAGCCCAATCAATGGAGCATTTCTCCAGGAACACACCCTGAGGGTCCCACAGAAAGCGTGACCCTAGCAGAGGGGAAAGGAGCATACTGGCATCACTGACATTTATTTCACAATGGAAGGAGAATAAGGGGCCCCATGGCTAAGTGTGTGAGTTCCAGAGAATGGGGAGTAGATCCCTTTTAAAATTAAGATGTGGGAATTATACACATGGGTTCATTTATTTAAACTACATAAGTTTCCAGACATGCATTTGTTTAAGAAACTGTTTAAGAAACCCATTTACCCCAGGTACAAATTGCCCCAGAATTCGATGCTTTCTGTATTGTCTCTTCCTTTGTGGATGAGCCAACATCCAAGGGCTTCCTGGGCTGACAACTGTGATCCTGTGACATTCCAGGTGCAACCCTGACGAGAAGCAGAGATGGGGAAAAAACTGGATCTTTCCCAGCTCACGGACGAGGAGGCCAAGCACGTCTGGGAAGTGGTCCAACGGGACTTTGACCTTAGAAGGAAGGAAGAGGAAAGACTAGAGTGAGTGTGTGGCTCAGCCCGTGGGCCTGGGGTCCTCCCATGTCCTCTGAAGGGTTGTCACCTTGGGGTGCTTTCTAGGGGGATAAACCACCAGGTGCTGGGAAATGTTCTACTTTCTGCCCTCAGTTTCCTCATAATTAAAAGAAGGGGATCTGACTTTCCAACCAGATACGCAGGTGCTCCCTGAGTAGTTTTATTTCAGTTTGATCCAGCTTCTGGGGTGACATCATCTCCTAGGTGAGGTGGTACTTAGGCCACAACATTGTGAGAATGAAAGAGCTAAAGGTGATAAATAGGGAAAGGCCGGATGCCATTCTGAAACACCCAGAAGGTTGGGATCCAGGGGTTTTAGGATAAAGGCGGGCTTTCCACCTTCATTCCCAATAGTGTTGGCTGGCACCCCGTCCTCACCGTGGAATGCCCCAGCGCCAGCTTGCACCACCGTCCACATGGACTAAGCTAAGACCCACTGGCATTATTTACTCCGCCATCTACCTTGCAGAGTCCTGCCCCCAAACCACGAGCGTTCCTTATCCACTGGGCTCCCTTATGAGCCTTCCTTGGTGTCTTTGGTGGATTGCTAGGCCTACTGAGTAGGAGACCTTTGAGCAAAGACTGGAGGAAGTGAGATAAGTACCAAGCAGATGCCTGACAAGGTGCTCCAGGTAGAGCACGAGAAGACGTCAGAGACGTAGTCGGGTGCAGGGCCTGGGGGCCTGGGGGACCTTCACAGAACTCAGGCCTTTCTCTGAGTCTCTCCAACCTTGGGCTGGGGAATAACAAGACCTGACTTCTGCTGAGACGTGGTCGGATGAGCTCTGAAGGGAGAGCCGGCAAACTCGCCCACAGGTTGGATGTGGGGTCTTGAGTATGGGAGGCATCAAGGGTGACTCCAGAGTGGTGGCCTGAGTAACTGGGAGCTTGGAGCTGTCATCACCTTGCTTGGGGAAGGTGTGGGGAGAGCAGGTTTGGGGGAAACCAGGAAACAGTTCAGACATGTTGAAGTTCAGTTGCCTAGTAGACGTCAAGTGGACTCCACACGCACTGGGCTGAGCTCCAAAGAGATGTGATCATGGGAGTGTTCACCATACAGATGACATTTGTATTAGCTTCCTAGGGCTGCTATAATTACAACAAATTTAGTGTCTTAAAACACACAAATCTCTCTCTCACAGCTCTGGAGGTCATAAGTCCTAAAACTAGGTGTCAGTGGGGCTGCCTTCCTTCTAGGGGCTCCAGGGGATGAGGTGTTCCCTTGCCCTTTCCAGCCTCTGGAGGCTGCCTCCATTCCTTGGGCCCTGGCCCCTTCCTCCATCTTCAATGCCATTATCAGCATAGCATCTTCCAATCTCTCTCTCTCGCCTCTGCTCCATCATCACAACTTCTTTTCTCTTTGACCCCCTGCCCTCCTTCTTCCCTTAGCAGGGGACTTGTGACCCCACTGGGCCCACTCAGATAATGCAGGACTGCTTCCCATCTCAAGATTCTCAACTTAATCACATCTGCAAAGTCCCTTTTGCCATGTGAGGTGACATATTCACAGATTCTGGGAACGAAAGCGTAGACATATTTGGGGGTAGGGGAGCATTATTCAGCTGACCCCAGTATTTAAAGCCATAGGACTGGAGGAGATCACGACGAGAGGCAATGCAGATAGAGAAAGACTGGGCCCCAAAGAGACAGAGGAGGAGCAGCAATGAGGAGGCTCTGGGTCCCAACATGGAGCAGAGTCCATGACAAATCCTTAAGTGAAATAAGTAGAGTCCAGCCAGGCGCCCCCGCTGTTAGCGGGAGGGAGTCTGGGTCAGTGCCCCTGCAGCTCCCTCTGCCTCTCTCTGCAACCCCTCTCTCTCCATTCTGCCTTGGGACACAGGTGACCCCCTGGATTTTCCTCATGAAGCCGTTTTCACCCCACTAGCCTTTGGCAATTGCCGTGCTCTAACTCACCCGCAGGCAACCCCAAGACTGGAGCCCACAGCAGCCCTTGACCCACTTCCAAGTGCTGAGCAGGGGCCACAGCCAGCGGCAGACAACCAGAGCTGCCTGCCCTGTCTCCTCTCAGAGACTCAGTCCCCCCGCCCTGCACATCTCCCCACTCTCTCTACCTCTGATGGCCCCACTTCACCACGTTCTGGGGTCCCTCCCTCTGTCTTTCCCACTCTGTCTATGAAAATGCCAGTGTTCTCTCACTTCGTGACCCAGAGCAGCTCCCCCTGCCTGGCCTTGGCCTCCAGGCTCTGCCCAGGATGGAGGGCCACGTGCTCTCAGCAACAAAGCCAGCCTGGTCTCTCCTCTTGGGGGAAACTTCTTCCCAGAGGATGGATCATATCATGTCTCCAGGTGGCCCTGCTGTTGTGGGCTTTTGTTTTAAATGGCAGCTTGGATCTTCCCATTCTGTGTATATATAGAAACCCAGATGAATTGGAAGGGAGGGGAACCCAGCTGTCCAGGGAGCAGAGGGAGGGGCGATCTGGGCCGATCCCACGCAGGCTCTCTCTTCCCTAGGAACCCTGGAGGTGGTCGGCCCCTCCTTCCATCCAGACTTAGCAGAAGTAGGTTTCACAGAAAATCCTGTGTTTCTTGCCTGTGAGGGACTCCCTTTGGACAACCGCCATCCGTTATTTTCATACGCCCTTAATCATTTCACGTTGCGAAGAGGAGACACGCCCAGGTCACCTCTAAGTACTGTTGGGAAAGGGTACAGATTGTGAGGCCCCTCTCCTGTGCAAAGCCTGTGGTCACGGTCACGGTCAGGGTAACCTCCTCATTCAGAAGTGGCCCAGGCCATCTGCTCAGAAGGGGCTGGGGTGGGGGATGTGAGCAGAGGGATTGGCCTGCTCTGCTGTGTTTCTCAGCCTGCTCTGCTGTGTTTCTCTGGCCGGCCGTGTGCTCAGGGGGCTATTAAATACCCCCAGTGCCTCTCAGACGGAAGGAGGTTGTATGGGGAGCATTAATACAATAGAGCATCATATCGTCACTGGAAACGTCAGCACGGGGAGCGGTGGTGGTGTGGAAAGTCCATATCGAAGTGATGCTGAGTCGAGAGCACTGAAGCCCAAAGAGCATCACTGTGATGGGTTCTCGCTGTGCAAGCATGGTCTACCTGTTGATGCATTTGGAGGTAAAGTGTCGTGTAAACAGCAGGGGGGCTATGGAAGGCTTTTGGGGTTTCTTATCCTTCTTGGTGGTTGTGTCTTGTTCATGGTGCTACTGGTTAAATATGCACCAAAAGACAGAGCTGCTTCTGCCTGTGAGAAGCCTTTTCCCCAGGGTCCCCCATGACCCCCCAGGGAGCCAGAGGGCCCAGGCATGTCCCCTCAAGGTCCGAGGGTGGGCGCCAAGAGCACTGTGAGTTCAGAGCCTGCAGGGTTGGGTTCTGCTCAGATGGGATGCTGAGACTGAGAAAGGGCACAGCTGAGATGAGCTTAGAATAGAGACCGTGTTCTTGACACCAAATTGGTTCTACAGAGCAAGTTGGCTGAAGTGCCAGCAGTCTGTTTGAAAGTAGTAAACCTCCTCCCTAATCTCTTATCAGTGTTAATCTGAAATTGGTTAAATGACACATTTAAGCAATTTCAGCATACGCTGTCATCCACTTCCTGCCGCCTCCGTGTCCCATTCTCTGCAGCACGTCCCCAGGTTTCTCCACGATCATCCTGGGGTCCTCATACATGCTCCCAGTTCCCCATTCTCTAATCTGTGCATGAGCAGTAGGCTGCATGGAGAGGCTGGTCCTCAAGTGACCCGTCAGTGGGGGCCATAACAACCCTAGCAGGTCAGGAATTGTTCAATTGAGTTGTGATGTGTTTGACGTACTCCAAAGGGATGCCAAATGGATGGCCCAGCTCGAAAAACCTCCAAGGTCATCGATAAAACAAAGTTAATGGGGGAAAAAATTGTGAAACCAAGAAACACGTTCCTTATTTGGAAAGAACGTTCCAATCCTGAGTATGCATCAAGGGGACACAGTGTGTGGCCTGAGGTCGATTCTCCAGAAGCAAATTTGCCAGTGCACCAAATGCACCAATGCACAGCCAATGCACCAAATATCCCAATTTGAAAACAATCTGACAAAAAAATGTATTTCTTATAAGATTTACAAAGTTAACAGAAATATGTTTTAGATGCATTGCTGCTCAGTATTTCTCCCCAAATAAGAGCATCAATGCTACAGAGGGTATGCGGGCAGGGCCTGGGCAAAGACTCCAGCACCTTCTCCCGCACTGTCAGACCAGTGTACCTTTGGTTTCTCCTCTGTCAAAGCGCATGACAAATGAGCTGGCACAGATCCCTGATCTTCCAGAGGATGGAAGGCCCTGTGGCTGTGAGACTGGTTTCCCCAACCCCTGCATGACCAGTAGACTGTCCCCAGGACACTAAAGCCAGGCCTGACCCGGGCTGATCCCAGTGCTGAAGACATTCAGAACCCCCGTGGGGAAGACAGAGGCCATCCCAGTTGTGCAAGGCAGAGACTGGAGCCTGCTGTCCGAATGTCTTGAGCCTCCTCATGAGGCATTCCCAAAAGAATGCGTGTTTATTCCAGGGAACAGGGTTGCTGCAGCATTCACGTCATAGAGGGCTTCCACCTGAACTGGTGAGAAGGAATTTCCTTGGGGCTCCAGCTCCTGGGTGGCAGGTGTGACCTAGAGAGAGCATCCGAAGGCCTCTTCTTGCAGGCTGTTTTGGAAATTCACCGAGAAGGAAGAGGGGCCACTTGCCTTTGATTCAGCCCCAGGCAGATGTTAATCTCTCCCTGAAGTTGGCATGTGCCGCCAGGGACGTGGGAGCGGGGTGTTTACTGTACAGGGCGTGATGTTTTTCCTGGCTTCCCATTGGTGTGCTCCTAGGAATCAAAAACTCAGAGATGTACAGAATCAGGATGTTAACGACGTTGGCGTCAGAAAGGTGCTTTAGGGTAGATTGGGCTTAATACCCACTTCCTAGAGTCCTGGCAGGGGGCTATAATGAGGGCATGTGTCTTGCTGTGGATGAACTTTGAG